CTTCCTGGGAGGATTAAAATAGTTAGACACGCTAGCCAACGATCCAAGGACATCTGTAACCTATTTCAATCCTAGTTTGTACCCAATATTTTAATGAGATCTTCCTAGGACACAGCCAGACTCTCAGAAAGTGATTACCTGACCCTTAAATGGAAGGGAGTTTGGGAAATCCGGTTGTTGAACTTGAACCGGGAAGCATAGGCGCGAACTTCGGGAGGGCGAGGGGAGCGATCCTCCTCCTTCTCCTCCAATAGAAATAGAGAGAAGACGAAAAAAGCGTAAGCCCCCACCCAAGATTTATAAAAACAAAAATTTTTTTTAAACTCTTTTTATTGAAAAATAATACATTTTTTAAAGCTTAAGGCACTGAGTACTAAAGCTGATTGAGGCACATTCATACCATATATACAATACAATAAAAAATATATATGTATATGTAAGAAAGGCAAAAACTATAATAAACCGAGGAAATGAAACTTGAATTTAAAATAAAATCAAATACAGAAATTCATAGCAAAATTAAATTAATTATTAGTCAAAGAAATAAATAGAAAAACATTCATACTTAATTACAATATTTACAATCAGGCAAGAGATCTCCGAGTCCAGCCTTTTCCCCCAAGTGTGAAGGACAAAGCGGGACTCTAAGAGATCCCAGCGCTTCTCTCTCAGCCTACATTACCAGTCCGGTGGGGAGAGAGAGGACTAAAGCCACAAACAATCATGAAAAAACACAAAAATTAAAAAAAAAAAAAAAAAAAAAAAAAAAGGAATCAATACAAATTAATCTACATGAATGAATAATATATCACTACCGTTTGTGCAAAAGTGCGTAAAAATTTAGTTTTTTTAAAGAAGAGGATGTAAACCGATTATTTTTTTATGATTTATTAGTATAATTTCATATTTTATTTCCCTCTGCTATTTTCCTATCTAGCAGACTACTTATAGCAGTTGCATACCTAACCTGTATTGCAAAGAGAATAAACAAGTAAAAATGTTACATACGATCTTTTTCACTAAGAGTAGCGATGTGTAAACTAAATTCAATGAAGAAAATAAGAAAAGTCGACTACATGGCTAAGGTAATACCTACAAATAAGTACGCAAGTATTTTACTACGCCCTGTGTATTATTATTATTGAAATATTAATTTATTTTCAAAGATAATTATATTGTTTAATTTATATTATATATATGCTTTAGTAGTGTATTGATCGTTTTAAAATAATTATGTAGATTATTATAAATCACATAAATAATAAATAAATAATCACATATATGTATCCGAAACGTTTTTTTGGTAGAGGTTCTTCGTTTCCTCCTTTCTCCTCTCCCCCGTCATTGCTTATGCCGGAAAGCATTAACTTCTAGAATAAGCATTACTGATCGGGGCTCCATAGTTTCTTATCAAGTAGTGTGTACTTAAGAATTGTAGCTGCACAATTTATTTTTCTTATTTAAATATTATTTATTCATTTCGCGTTTGTTGAAACAAAATTTAAGGAAAATAACGTAAAAATTTAATCTGCTTTCTTACACGCTGATTTAGTATGCAAATAAACGACACCATGTTGTTAGATCATCTGGAAACACTGTTTGAATAAAATAGTTTCTAATCCTCTATTGTTGATTGGTCGTGATTCACCTTTACATTCGAACAACTGGGTTTGTTTTAATTTTTATTATGGGATCGGAACATTTGTAATGTCAGTGCAAAGAGAAACTAACTTTAATGGCATTATTTTTTTCTAAATTACTTTCGATGGCTTTTACGTCCAGAGAGGATTTGAATATTTTATCCCTTGTTTTAAGAAATTTGAAATAAATTGAAGAACTGAAAATTTTATCTTCCTTTGGTATCGCAATATTTCATCTTTAAAAAAGGCACTAACCACACTGCAAACATAGAAATATTGTTTGGGACAGTTAAGATATATATCGTTGATGCAATAGAATCTCAATTTTCAGAAAATTGTTTTGTTTTTTTATTTAACTTAAAGAAACACGTGGCGATGAAGAAGTATTTCCCTAATTTTGAACAATAAGACACATAGGCACAGATTTTCCATTTTGATTTGGGGGAGGAGAGGAGACGATGGACAACAAAAAAAAGTGCCGAGTTTATATTAATTATAAAATTATGAGCGACAATAAACATTTTTTTTTTACATTAATTTTTAACTTACACCTGTCAGACGTTCCGACAATCAGCGAGTGTGATGTCAAGATGTAGAACAGAGTAGGTCTTGGAATAGGCGTGAGGGAGAGGAGTGCCCAGCGGCGTCCTTCCTGTCTTGAATGTATTATTTATAGTTGGTAGAGAAGATCCCAAATATTTGATTTTGTGTATTATTTTAGTAATATCACAAAAAAAATACATACAATTAAAATCATTATCCATCTTTTTCTTCAACTATCTAAAACACTTTAAATGTGATCAACGCATTAATGACAATTAGATCATATATTGATATCTGTAGGTAGAAAGCCTTCAGTATCACTATAATGATCCAATAAAAATACCGCAGACTAAATATGTATCGAAAAAAATGTACCCTTAACGTAAGAGACCGAACTAAATAGCGACACCAAATTTCTAGAATATTTTATAGCTTGAATAAAAAAAATTTAAATGAATTTTCTTTTGCATTAATTCAATCAGTTACGCCAGTTAATATTATGATGATGATATTCCTTTTAAAATACTTTATCAAAATACTTATTTAAAATATTGACTTTTATATGAGTGGAGAAAGGAAAATACGCTCACTCTATCTTTAATAAAAAATAGTTTCTGCCCTGCTTAATGTAGAAGGCTACGAAGTCTGACAATAATACCAAGCTAAAGGGATACGACACGTTTGAGTTGGACATCGGAAAAGAAAATAAGCTATGTCAGCATGAACCTTAATAAAAAATCGTTTTTAGGGAAATAGTTCATATCCCAAAAAACCAAGGCCAATTAAAGGAAGCCAAATAAAAGTATTTGAAACCTTATAAATGGATTGTTGGTTTCAAAAAATCTGCTCCAAATTGGTTGTTAAATAATTTTATATGGCGAGTTAAAATGGTTCTATCCAGTTTTCCGACGGCAATATTTCCTAGGTTTATTGCTTTTCCGAACCTTTACAGCAAGAATACTTTTCTTGGTTTGTTTACTCTTTTCGCCTCTGTTCATTCTTTAAATGCGAGATTCCAGCCGACAAACCTGTTTATTCCTTCTTCTAGAACTATTATGAATGTTACCTTATTTGGAAAAAATCCATATCCACCTTCATAAACAAAATCTTATTTCATTTAATTTAATAATTTCATTTAAACACCAGTTGTTTTTCCATCACCTTAGCTATCAATCTTCCGAATATATGTAAGAATTAATTATTCATGTTTTAGTGTTAACTTTGTAATTTAATTACTCTCACCAGTACCAGACTATAACGACAAGAAACCGCCCGACGTTTTCGACTACTGCAGCACTTACTAGACAAACGCTCTAAACTTCCAACTATTTACAAAAGACTCATATATATTACTATAATAAGGCCTATTTGGACTTACGGGATCGAGCTTTGGGTCTCCACTAAGCCATCAAATTCCTAAACGTAAAATCAAAAACCGTAAAATCCTCAACGCACCCTACTTTGTCACAAATAAAATCATCCATAACGACCTTTATGTACCATATGTTTCCGATTTAACTCAATCCAGATACCTATCCATCCATTGTAATTTTCTGAACCAACCGAACCCTCTTGTTTCCAGTCTTGCTTCCTCTTCTATTCCTGATAACCCTCCGAGGCGTCGGATAAAAAGATGGACTCGGGATTTTCTAATATAGAAATATAAGTGGAGTGCTACCAATGGGTAGTTCCTCTTCATGTTGTACATGTCATGTTACTTGTTTCATATTTACTTGTTGTATTTATCGTTTAACACAGTGGTAAATTTCAATAAAAAAATTAATTCTCGCCTGTCATTATGTGCCTGAGAAATATAAATGTAATTCCTATTGTTCATTTCCATTATTCTTTAATTTACTTTTCTTGTTCTTTTCCAAAAAAAAAAAATAATTTCAAACTAAAAGTCCGTTGTTTAAACCCCTTTTATCAAATTATAAACACCCGTCTAAAACTTCGTAAATGGTCTCACTTTATCGTAACCTCAATTTTTTCGTAACCAGCAAAATTCTCGGAAATGGAGAATTTTTTAATGAAATTAATTAATTTATTGAGGTACTAAAAACTCATGAATGTTCATTTGCTTTCCTATTTAATCACAATATATTTTGATTACAAAATCGCGAGAAAATGTGGCCTATAAAAATATTGTGTCGTATGCCCCAATATAGCATCGTTATCCTGGTGTGTTGAGAATGGAGAACACGCCAAACGGCCGTTTATATTTGCACGCCTTGGAAATTTAAAAGATCAAATGCTTAATTTACATCGAGCAAAGGCTAAAGAAAAATTATAGACTTTAATAGATTATAATTTTATTTATAAGATAGATATGAAATATAGAATAGTGGTACAGATGAAAATGGCGAGGGAAGTTATTTACTGTGCTGAAGTTATTTGGAAGACGTTTTTTAATTAAATTAATAATTATAAAAGCCCCGGATATGCAGTTACTTTTTTCAAAATAAACTTTTTTCTCGGTCACCAGCGAGGGCTAGCGTCTCTCCTCTGGACTCGCTAGTGCTGTTAGATTGAGGATACTTTTTTAAAAACTTATTGGATCAGGAATATATTAAATACCTCGAAAAAAAGTCTTTGTTCATATGAAAACCTGTATTCATTTTTTTTTTTAAGCATAATCTTAAGTAACTGTTTTGTTTTTTTTTTCGATGTAGGATATAACTTAGTGCCTCGTTTTTTTAACTTTTCCAAAAAAACACATACACCCACCAACTGGAAGGAGCTGAGACCGGAGGTACCCCTTGATCCCCACCTCCGCGGCTACATATAGGAGAGAGATCCCCCATCCCCAACAGTCAACATGAAGCTCCTGGTGCTGTCGGTACTCCTTGCGTTCGCTTCTTCAGCCAACGTCCCTAAGAAGAGGGCTGCCTACTACCCGAATGTGTTCTACACGTCCTTGCCCTACCTGCAGGTAAGTGACATCTCTGTCCATTAAGAAGTCGATGGCTCAGCCTAGAAGAAGAGTGGTGTACTAATCATAACAACCTAAAATATAATAACATTAAATATTCATATTATATCCATCCTTACCATCATTAAGATAATACGATTTATTTTATTTTAAAACTTATTTGATGGAGATTTAACACCTCGTAACTGACAAGAGGGGCTGGAGCCCCTCCAAAATAGAAAAATATTAATGACAAACAACCTTAATTTGTTTTTAAACTTTGTGGGATGTTGATGTAATTATTATCAAGATCCTACAAAGTCATTGACAATAATTTACCTTATTATTATTACCAAAGAAAATAATAATAAGGTAAAGTTTTTTTTTGTGATGAAATAAATCCTCTCTCCCCCAAAAAAGATGAACTTGTAATTTTTATAAAAAATATTCTAACATAAGTTGTTAAATTTGTCACATCATAAGCATACAATTTTCAGAAAAACTGTTTTTGACAAATAAAATGAGAAAAAATCCTTATTAATTTGTGATAATAAGAGAAAAAGTCAACATAACTAAATTTATAATATTAATTTAACAATAACCATGGAGTAGTATACTGAAACAAAAATTGCGACTGTTGTTTTTTTAAATATTTGAAAACGGCATTAAATCGAAAATATGAATGAAATATAACTTCTTGTTGAAATTTAATCTGTGACAGTATTGTGTTCTTTTTGTTAATCGTTTATTAAATTTAATAGAAAAAAATATTCTCATTGATGTGAGTGATTTGTTTATCGTAGTGATCTGTGCCAAATCTGTTCTCTTTTTTAATTATACTCAAAGTAACCATGTGTCAAGGAAAAATATAGAAAGTGTATCCTTAAAAGCATTATTATTCCTTAATTATCGTCATTTTTCCTCTTTTTTAATAGGCCTTTAAGAACCACTTAAACAGAATTCCATAGAGCTTATTAGTTCTTTATTAGTTTCTTAATTGTTTTATTAGTTTCATATAGCATTTCTTATACCTCTAGAGTATATTAAATTGCCGTAATATAAAAAAAAAATGTTACCCTTCACATAATTGAATCCTGGATCCACTATTGCACCTCGTTATTACAGAAGTTGTGTTAGTTGAGTAAATTAATTATTTTTTTAATTACAATAGAATTGATTAGTGTTTATTGAGAAAAAAATACAAGTAACAATGTTGTCCGTTAAGAAGTCAATAGCAACCAGATGTTACCACAAAATAACAAGCATTAATATTAATATTCATATTCCTTTATTTAAAAGAATAAAGAAAGAGGTTACTTTTTTTATTTATTTATTGTGTGATATAATCTTCTGTTACATAGACAATAATTTTAGTGACGTAAGAAAACATTTTCACTATATGTACAGAAAATATTTTTTAAAACAGAACAAAAATAACAGCTAAACAATAATCAAAAAGTAATCATATAATTCAAATACATGGTTATCCCACTCGTATAACTCCTTAAAAAACTCGTATATTGCCTCATTACTCATTAAAAAAAATCACAGTACATAACATACCATACTGACCATCCTAACGGTAGAGCACATGCCGGTACTGCTCACATTGTACAACAATCCTTCTCCCATCACCTACTCCCATTACCAACTCAAGATTTCCTTCAATCCACAGCAATCGTAATCTACATCTTCTTCTTTCCGGTCACCCTTGCGTCAGCATGTTGCCTTCCTAACAAATCCATATCCAATGTCCATTTCGGTTCCCTCCTAAACTCTTTAGGAGATCACTTCATCCTAGGTGTGGACTTAAATGCCGAGCATCAACAAATGTTTGAAAAGATCCTCCTGAAGAGAATCCTGCCCACTAATTCGAATGTCGTTCCCAACAGACCAACAAAGACACTTGCCTTATGGGCTAAACGGGGTTTTCCTGAGCCAGGAGGTGAGGGCGGGAGATTAATTCAAGAGTTAAAAGCCTCTCCGACATCGGGACGCAAATTCACAATTATTTTTATCAAATTATCTTATATTAGGTTTACCGGCAATACTTGTTTTTGCTCTTCTTATACACATCCATAACTATACACAAAATATACATTCGCCCAGGGATCTCTGTACCAAAAGCTTTGTCCTCCACGTGTAGAAAACAAAGAAAGACTGAGATGTTCCTAGTGCTTCCCTTCCAGCCCCGTCACTGAAATTAGAAGCCAGTGGAAACTGAAAGAGGGTACTGGAGCCGCAGACGCTCAGCACTTGAGTGGAGAAGCTGGTCATTGTCAGGATATTTACAAAAGGTCTCGGGGTCACTGCCGCTTTAACCTTCGAGGAGGATTATAGCGATTTTTGGAGCTGAATTTGGATTGAGCTACAGGATTAGGATGATGAATAAGATTCTGGTGAAAGTTTGTAAATCTGGATGGGATAACGTCAAGATATATGGGATATGACATATGGGATGTTAAAGTCATGGCGTAAGGTCTTGTTTGTAATATAATAAGGATCATTGACTATTGTTCGGAGTACTATGTATGGACTGAAAGGATTGGGTACGTTTGATATTCGAAAATTTAGTTGTCTTCCACAGTTCAAGACCGTATGTCCAGATAGATTTCAGTTCGGTTCTGGAGATTAATAATTTCTTTTAAATTTATATTGCTTATTATTAAAAATATATGAAACATTCTTATGTATTTATCTATAATTTCAAATAATTACGATTTTCTTTTATCCTAATGTTATTGTTAGATAACTATTTAAGTTAATTCATGGTAGTATTCTAATGTCAAGCAAATGTCACTTCATTGTTCATTATAAATTTTCAATCAGTAATTCAAAATTCCAAAGTTGTTGAGTTTTAAATGTATTTATTTGTTTTTAACTGTATTATTCAACATACATTTTTCATAAATATTGACAACCACTAAGTATGATATCAGTAAATGTAATATAATTAAATTTCACAAAATTGTTATGATATCGGATAATGGATCGTTTATACAAAAGCAGATAGACTACAGTTATATAATAAACGATTGTTAAAAACTACTTTCAAAATTCAGCTTAAATAAATATCATTATATTTTAAAACCATCAAGACTTTCAGATTTTTATTTATTTCTATAAATTTTATTGATGATAAATAAAATTTATAAACAAAATGTAATTCGTCCCTACCCTGCGGATACTCTGAATTTTTTAATTGACAAATTTCTAAAGTTAAAGTGTCAGTTTTTCTTGATGCTTTTGATATGATTATTTATTATTAAAAAAAATGTTTCATCACCGACTCGGAAATTATTGTTAATGAAAAGTGGATCTTAACTTCTTGTCAGCTTAAAATATTATAAAAATCGCCGATTATATTAATTATGACCATCAAGTACATGAGTTAAATCGAGTGGTCAGTTCCATTATTTCTCAAAGGTCTATTGACATTCTATTCATTATAAATTCATTTTCTGTTCGCTTTCTATTCATTTATTAGATACATTCGACATTCTCTAATGTCCTTCAGACACAATTCATATGAAACCTAATACATGGCCTGTCTGCATGCGGTACTAATGATATTATCAGGAGACAGATATATATTTAGGTCACCTTTTAAATATCCTTGTCTGGGTTTAAACTAAGTGATTATTAAAAAGAGCTATAAAGTTTATCTTTGAAATTTTTAAAGATGGTCTCGGTCTTGGTCTTGCAACAGTTAGACGGTCTTTTTTGCACTTTGCAGATTGCACTTTTTTTTTTGTGAATTTGGACAACACTAATAATTAGTTATAAATTCATTTAAATGTTTTTAAGATTTATTTAAATAAGTGTACGATCTGTAAAACAAAAAAAAAAAAAGTTAAAGCCACTTTGCTTTGAATTTTAAATCATGGTTGTTACTTTTACATAATTTAACAAATCATTAAACATGATCGTTCCCTTTACATAATTTAACAAATCATTAAAACGTGATTGTTACCTTTACATAATTTTATTACTTGATTTTTTTTTTCATGAGTAGAAAAAATAATTATTTTTATTCTGCAGCTGTTTCAGAATCACCTCTTTTTAATTTTAAAACATTGGTTAATCAAAAATAGATGCATAAAATATACAATTTTCAGGCCCAAAATTCTGCCATTTCAAATAATTATTGAAAAAGCATCAGTATAAACTGGGGTGTCTCAAGTAGTCTCTTTGTCATTTGTCTCTTTTATAAAATAATTTCCTATTTTATATAACCATTAAAAACATTTTTTTTTTTTGTTATGACCACATATTTATATATTTGTGATTGCTTTATCCATATTGAAAATCCATTCAATTAAACTCACTGCCTCTGAATTGAATAGAAAAAAAGTACTACCATGAAGTGAAAGTTCCCATATAATTGTTTTAGTTCCTCACTACCGAAAGTAGGAAAGCTTATTGCTCATGCCGGAAGTGAAATTTTTTTGTTTTCTGATTCGAAAATCGTCTGTAATGTGTAACGTTGTAGAGACTCCAAGGAACAAATGTGGTTCCACGCTTGCCTGTAGTCAATTCGATTTGGCAAACAAAAAAACTCCTACTGCTGATTGTACGATATTGATGAAAATTTCAGGGATTGTGCAAACTTTTTTTTAACAAGCTTATATTTTTGAAACAGCTTGTCCAATTCCGTTCAAAGTAATAAGAAAGTTGTCCTAAAGTGCGAAAATGGATCGGTATCAATTTTATATTAGCTCTTTTCATTTATGTTTTGGCTCTCATTCAGCATTATCTTCAAAAACGCTGTTTTTAAATATTATTTATTTAAATTATTCATTATATATTAGAACATTTTATTCCTTTATTTTTTCTTTCTTTTTTTCAGCTATTTTGGATCTCTTCAAAATAGCGATCGTAATGATTATTAACAAAGTTTTTATCAGTAATAATTTTTCTATACATGATTATTTTTAATTCAAGTGACCTATTTCCTTTATAGAATCGTTTCAAGAATTTAATAATGTGGAAAATATTTTAAATGACGGCATATTATTGTT